AAGATCTTTGGGACGAAATCAAAATAAGATACGGAAATAGTGATGGTCCTCATGTCTTTCATCTTGAATTTTTTTTTAGTAATATTTCTCAAGGTTCTTAGTCCATCACTTCTTACTTTAACACTTTTCAGGGTATTTGGGATGCGTATTGCAATTACATATCTGCTCCTACTTTCTCTTGTGGTCACTATACTTGCAAAATCAATTACACTTACCAAGATTTAGTCCAGAAAGACTCAATTGTCAAATTTCTCATTGGTTTAAATGATTCTTATTCTAGTATACGAAATAAAAATCAATACAACGATTATACGTAGTATAACGAAGTAAGGTTCGTATCCACATGGAAATGAATACTTCTCTTTTTATGTAACTAGTAACAAGGAGGGTTTTAAAGTTTGACTTGATAAACTTAAATTATATTTACACACTAAGTTGAACGACTTATGTGGTTTACTTAATAGAGATGAAGTCTTTGCTTTGCTTTTATCCACTCAATGAAATGTTCGTCGATCCCGGTTATATCTTTAACTATCTTCCTCTCGAATACTCAATCGAGGAGTATCCAATTCATCGAGGGTAGTTATTAATAACGAGACACGTTCATTAATAAAACTTACTACCGAGTCAATATAGAACACACGCCGTATATTAACCCGATAGTAGCAATAAACTTAAGATGAAAACGATTGAGATTGATAACCTCAACACAAGCAGTTTATTGGTTTAATCAATATAATTAATTCCCCTTAGATTATTAACCATGAGACGCATGCATTAATAATCCAAGTTTACTACCGTGAAAAGACCGAACGATTAACAAGCGTATTCGTCAATCGATTCTAGTAATAATTAATATATGAAACAAAACTAGTTGATCTTTTAAGTAATGCTCAAAATATTAATATGAAATATGAATAGGAATTAATTAATATTCAAGGAAGAAGATTAAAGAAAATAAATGATACTCTAACTAATGTTGAGATGTTAACTAATTGTCATCTTAACAACACTCCCTAACATTAATACAGAGATAGATTAATTAATATTCAAGGAAGAAGATTAAAGAAAATAACTCACAACTTACTATTCATTAAGCTTCAAAATAGCAAAACCAAGATGGGAGAGTTTAGCTCCTCATTTGGAGATTAAACATACTAGAAAATATAAAGAAAATACCTGTCTAAACTGAGCTTAGAAGTATATGAGAACTGGTGATCTTTATTGTGAAGGAAAAGAGATGTATTTATAGGTGTTTGGAGGTGGGAGGGTTGTGTACGTGATCGGGTATATAGGGTACCCGATCGAGTATTTTAGGCAGTTTCCCGGAAAATCACTTTTTTAGAGATACCCGGTCGGGTATGAGCCAAATCTTCAAAATCCTGCACGTTTTTTTGTCTCTCCAGATTCTGATTTTGACACCCAAATCAACTCAATACTCGATCGGGTATTTCCTATACCCAACCGGGTATATATGAAATCTTTTTTCAATCTTCTTTTTATCTTGTCCCCTTGCACTTTCCTTGATCTTTTGGGGTCCAATCTTGATCCTTTGGATGATCTTGACCTGTTTTAAGCTTTGAATAATCCGAATCTAAACAAATTACATCTATATTGAAAAATAAACTAATTACACCAAAAGTGTGTAATTTCTCTAACCACAAACAATAAAATTAATTTAAAAGTGAAATAATACATAATAAAAATATGACATTATCAGTTTGCAATAACTTTTGCTTAAAAAAAGCACTTTTGGAGTGATTTGAAAAAAGTGGTTAGTAGTAAAAGTTGATAGTGTTTGAGAAAAAAGTGATTTTGAAAAGTAAAAGTTGGCAGTGTTTGGTAAAATAAGTGCTTTTTGTGTAATAGAAAAGGGAAAAACACTTTTCACACGAAAGTCGAGAAAAGTAAAAATTGGAAGTGTTTGGTAAATAAATGCTTTTTAAGTCAAAAGCCAAGAAGTGTTTTTTTTAAGCGGTTGCAAACCAACCCTAAAGGAGTGTTTGGGGTTGCTTAAAAAAAGCGCTTTTCAGCTTTTGGCTTTAAAAAAGTTGAAAAGAGTGTTTTCAAATGACAGCTTCTGCTTAAATTAATCACTTAAAAGCTAAAAGTTGGAAGCAGGTAGAAGGGTACTTTAAACTGCTTCTCACCTTTTCTATTACACAAAAGTACTTATTTTACCAAACACTACCAAATTTTTACTTTTTCAGAATCACTTTTTTTTCAAACACTGCCAACTTTTACTATTAATCACTTTTCCCAAAATCACTTTTTTAGAGTTGAAGCAATTGCAAACACTCCTTAAATACGTTGAATTGATGTGATAATTGGTGTAAATTCACCCACTTCATAGATCAACATGCTTCACATAGTAAGCACATAGACGTTCTCACTAAATTTACCCATCACTACAGCCTTTTAAGAGCAGAAAAATATAAAAAAACTCCATGTTTTGAAACACCAAAATGGTATTGGTAAATCAAAAACAAAACTAAATGACCGTTTAGGATCTTCATGTGACTATTTCGGTATTTTTCATCTGTTTACGCCTAAAAGGAAATCACAAAATAAAAATATTCTAGGATGATTTACTTTGAAAAGTAAAGTTGGCTGTATTGAAAAAACTGATTCACCCACCCTGTAGCTGGACAGTAAAGTAACTAATGTAAAAGATTTAATGAATCTTGACTAAGTGCGCACGTAAGTGGTGATGACACTGGACAAAAGTCATTAAGTTACTTCAAACAAAATCTTGCACAAATCTGAACGCATAATCAAGTGTTTTGACGGCTAATATAAATATATAATGAAGGCAGGACTTCAATGAATCTTGACTCAAAGCCATCATGCCCAAGTTGGCATGCGGAGCCCGAGCGTCTTAATAACAATTTAAATATACAGTCCTCTAAACTTTACTTTTTTCTTTTTTGAAAGAAGAGTTTCATTAAAACATTAGATCACGACTACAATTTGGAGGAGTGTCATTCCAACTCCCTGGAAACGTCTGTGAAATAATAGCCTGAGCTAGCCCATGTGCAATGGTGTTTGCAGAGCACTTAACATGAGTAAGATAAGAATTATGTAAGAGATTAAGTGAAATTTTGCAAGAAGAAATTAAACTTTACTTTGTTAGTTTAGACTTTAGAATGTGTTTACTTGGACCGTAATCCATCTCAGACCAGACCATATCAGACCAGACTAGACTTGAATAGTTATAAAAATATAAAGAGACCAGACATTACCAGATCATACCAGCTCAAACCAGACTAGATCAGACCAGACAAGACCAGCAAATTACAGTCCAAGTAAAAACATCCTTATTGTTTAATTTATGTAATTGAGAGATGACTTTTTATGCTTTAATTCTAAATATTAACTTTTTCCTAGATTGAAATTTATTATATGAAGTACAATTTAGTAGGAATTCTTGTTGAATTTCTAAGTATCTAAATTATAAATATTTATAATATTTAAATTTTAAATATAATCATTGACAATTTAACTTAACTTAATTTAATTATTAGTAAATCATAATCGAAATTGTCGGGCATGATGTAATCAGCAAGAAATATTCAAACAAATTATATATGCAACCAGCAAACTACATCACTACAAAAAAGATAATGAAATTGTCATATGAGCAATTCTTGGTGTACACAAATTGCACACAAAATGCGTACATTGCTTGCCTGTGTACACAGAAAATTAGGGGGTCTTGACACCAAATTCTGCCCCTTTTTAAACCAATTGTCTGTATGCATAGACAACTAGGGGAATTTTTGTGTACACTTTGTGTACAACTCATGTACACTAAGAATTTTTCATTGTCATATATCTTTGACACGAGTTCGCCAAAATTCATAGAGTACTTGACGCAGATTTGACATACATCAAATCTGTGCGAAATTTCGTGTCAAAAATACGTTATGATCCATGTCAAACTCGATCAATCTCTATCAAGTCTGTGCATGTTCTTTAGTAGAGGTGCATGTGAACCGAATACTCTAAACTTGCATGTACCAAAGTCCGAACTAGGGTTGTTAACGAGTCGAACCGAGCCCGAACACCCAAAGCTCAAGTTCGGCTCGATAATGAATTAGTGGTGTTCGGGTTCAAGCTCGAAGCTCGGCGAGCTTTACAAATTAGACTCGTGTTCGGCTCGATAAACGTTCGATGTTCAAACTGAGTGCTCGATAAACTCGATAAATATGCTCCAATTTAAAATTTTAGTTGATGCTCGTTAATAGGCTCGTGCTCGAATGATTCAACAAGTATTCGGTTCGTTAATAATCTTATTTAAATTCATAAAATCATACTAAGTATATTTAAATTTTGAATATATATAAATTATATTTATAATTTCAGGGTGTTCGAAGGCCCGAGTTCTAACTGAGCCGAAAACTACTATGTTCGAGCTTGGCTTGATTAATTTTTCGAACTTAAAACTCAGCTCGGGTTCGAGCTCGAAAGCTTGTTAAACTCGGCTCGTTAGGTTTCCAAACCAAGCTCGAACTTGAATAGTTCGATAAAAGCACGGTTCGTTCGTTAACAGTCCTAGTCCGAACTATAAATATCGTGAACTTTGTGATAAATGTTATTTTAGCATTATATACATATGTTTTTGTCTTTAAAATATAAGATTGTAATATTAAGGAGTTTTTTTCCCGGAATAATGCTAATTAAATAAATAATTCCCAAAATACTGCCGGGTCAAGAATAATTCCCGAAATACTGCTGGGGTTAACCACGGTTAAGGAAAGCCGCCACTCCAAGTGGCGGCTTTTGTACAGCTTCACAAAAGCCGCCACTTGGAGTGGAGGCTCTTCTACTTCTGTATGAAAGCCGCCACTCCAAGTGGCGGCTCTTGTGTTAACGAACCTGCTGCAACATCATTCAGACAACTAAACCTGTAATTACCAGAAAAACAGCTCATCACAAAATCACAGTCCATTCCATTCAAAAAAACAACCAAACATATGATTTACTAAGACAAAATACACCCGAAATATAAAACGAATCAATGAAACTACATGACAACATACATCCAAAATACAAAACGAATCAATGAAACTACATATTGTGAAACTTTCACAAAACGAATCAATGCACCACAAAATTGAGTATAAACCATAAAAGTTATAATAAATCTGGTGTTTCACAAAATGATTCGATCTGCCAGTGCATGCTACAACTTTCACACAATAATTTAAATACAAACATCATAAGTCAATGTGATCATCATCATCATGAAGTTCATGTGGCTGTGCTCGGGGACGCCTGCGCTGGTTACGAGGCTGAAGAACAACTCTATCACGTCGGACTGCCTGAGAAGACCCTGCTGCGGATGTAGATGCGGTGGAATGCTGAGAGGTGGCCATATATCCATAATCCACTCGACCCAATACATCAGCGCACAGTGAAACAATGCCTGAACAAGCGTCATGGTATCCCTGTACATCTACCGCCTCATCAAGTATAGCAGTCGCTCTGTCATGGATGCTACGCAAAGCCCGTGTCTGTAATGCAAACATGGTTATTAGTGAAAAACACATGAATAAATAAATAAAGATATTTCATTGACTATATTGTTTACCGTCATATGAAGAGAGACTGAGCTAGGCTGGTAATGATTAGTGGGTAAACGAAAACTGGGAGAGATAAACACCCGTGTGATGGTGTAATACCATCTCATGTAGTCTACAGAAGCTGTGGGGACTAATGATGGGATCCCGTCCACTATATACGCCGCTCTCTCATCCCACATAGTGATATACTGAATATGGCGCATCCCCCAATCTTCAGTGTGCTTCCCCCGTCTATCAATCTTGTGCAAATCCACAGATGTATCACAAGGTCTGGGAGTAATCTGCTGCAACCCGAACTGGCGTAGTATGCGATCAGGAAAGTGATGCTCCACTACATCAAAACATATCAAGGGCACACGTGCTCGCCATATCTCAGTGTGCTCTCGGGCAACAGGAGGCAACAGCCCTAAAATCTCATCAGTGTACGGCATCCACGTCATCTATAATATAAAATTATGTTAGACCATGGTTTATAAAAACATAAAACAAAGTACTTACATTTAATGATATAAATGATATACCTGATCATCACACAAGCGATCTAAAGCATCTCGGTAGTATCCTAATCCAGCAGCGGATGACGTGCGCGTGACATGAGCAAATAGCCATCTGACACACAGGTATGTTTATGATTTTTTTTGTATGACATACGTGAATCCCTTTTATATTCATATACATTACTGTGTGTAAAAGATGATATACTTTGATCCATTATTTTAACTAATTTATTTATGTAAAAGTTAATAAATTTATACTTTTATGATAATATTTTCAACAAAGAACATTTTCATATAATTTTCATATTATCAATATTACCATATATAAATATATAATCGATCAAAGTTGAACAACTTTGACTTGAAAAATAATGTTTGACTAAATAAAAAGGGAAGAAGAGAGTAATTAATATGAGCATCTCTTCAATAGAAATTGCTCAAAATGGTTACGTCTAAAAATGAAAATTGTTTCAAAATATAAATTAATATTCCGTGTATTTTATTTTTAAAATAAGACTCATTGAGTCATATACGTAGTATAGAAAAAAACAATGAAAATTTCCTAGAATACTAGTGAACTATGGGTATGTTTGACACAACTAGCTGAAAAGATACTTTTGTAAGCTTTTAAATAACTGTTAGTTTTTAGTGACTGAAAAGATCTTAAAAAGAAAAGGTGATAGCTCTTTGGTAAACAGCTGACTGTTTGATTTAGTTCGGTTTGGTATACAAACTGTTAGGACTAATTAGTACTAAAAATCACGAGCTTTTCTCAGATGCTACTCTATGTGGAATCTCAAAAAAAATCTTTTAATTTTTGAAAAGCTCTTAAAAATTGTCATGCCAAACATACAACTAGAAGGTTTTAGAGACTTTTTGAACAGTACAAAAGCTAGAAGACATAAACTTACGTGTGCCAAACATAGCCTATATATTTTTATTTTATAAGAACGTCATGGCTGAGAAATCAGAAAAGAGCCATTTTTGACTCTTTAATTTTTTTAAGTTGTTCTTAGAGTTTAATAAGTTTTAAAGTAGTACGGAGTAATATATTAATTAGTAATTTTCTCTTGTTCGTATTGGTCTTCAAAATGAGTTTTGTTTCGGTATTTCTTTAATTTCTTCCTTTCTTTCCTAGTTTCCTTTCCGTTTTTTAGCTTCCCCTGTTTTCTTTCCCCTATTCTTCCCTTTCTTTTTGACCTTTCTTTTTCTTCTTTCGTGTGCAACACTTCCTATTAGACTATTAGTCCATTATTATTAAGTAGCAGCCATGCTTTCTTTTCTTTCCTTTATTCTACCTTTTTCCGGCCCTTTTTTTGCCAATTTTTTTTCTTCTTTTCCTTAACTTTCTCAGTCCTTCATATCGGTCGTACCGTTAACCCACAGACACTGATAATGGTATGACCAGAAAACAGCTGGAAGAAGACGTAAATATGTACATACTATAAGATTTTTTTCTGGTAGAAAATCTTAATATCTTGTTATTCTGATCTATCTTTCTATTAATAAAAATCAATAAAAGAGGCAATTTCTTCTTTAGTTGTCGTCGTATTCTTCAATTCGTATAACGAAGTACCAAATACCAATCAAAGTTTTTCAGTAGATATTCAAACTACTACGTATAAATTAAACAATATACGGAGTATATATCATCGGTCTTTTTTCATTTTTAATTTTTTTTCAATACTATATTTCATCTTCGTTCCTTATTTGCAGTTGCAAGGATGAGGAAAAGATTGATGCTTGTGAGGGTTGCTTTGCACATAGATCGATCGGCACCAGCTAGGCTGCTAAAAACAGCATCAGCTCGAGGTGTTCGTGACTCGTGAGCTTTTATTAATGTTTATATATATACTCCGGAGTACGGAGTACATGTTTAATTAACAAGTCAACGACCATGGGGATCACAAGGGATCATGTTTTTTATTTAGGAGTAAATTTCTGTCATGTTTGACATTACTACATTTTAAACATGTCATTTTTCTTTTCCAAACTTGACAGATTACTCTTATTTAGAGAATAAAAACATGATAGTCCATTTTGGAATTTCAAAACGTTTTTACTCTTATTTAGGGCAATTTCTGTTATAATGATATACACTACGTATTCACTACCTAGCAACGTAATCGTAATACAAAGTGTAATACTGCAGCCCTAATATTAATTTAATTTTTCTTATTTTGTTCGAATTAACAATTAATTCGGGCTTAATCATAGATGTTACGTTATACCCTCTAAGAATCATTTATAAAAAGTACGTTTACAATGTATAAACATTTTGTGAAAATAAGGATATATGTTATCGGTACTTATTCAGTTTCAGACCAAACCAACTCAGATTACATTATATCCGATAAGATCAGATTTTGATAGTTGTAAAATATATACAGATCAGACATTTACCAGATTTGATTAGTTTTGACCTGGCCAAATCAAACTTCACCAGATCAGACTAGATCAAACCAGAGAATTAACTAAAACATCTTAAGGAGGAATGAAAGAAATTGACTTGAGTGATTAAGATGTTTCTTCAACTCATTTTAGTCCTAGTCCCCAGACCATATCAGACTAGATCAAAACAGACCAGATGAAACTTTGGCAATTATAAAATACATGATGGACAGTCTACCCGGGAGGTATCTTATCCGAGGGGTTATTGCGGGAATAACTAGAGAGAAATCAGAGCAAATAGGAGGAGAGAGAGTCGATTTTATTAAATGAACTCAGCGTGGTTTACAAGGAGAACAAGAGCTGCTATTTATAGCGGCAATAAATGCGATGAGAGTACACGTGTCAGTAATCCAACGGTCGAAGGGTCACCTCAATCGGGGTGGTACCGGCAGTGACATGTTCACCGCATTGAATGCAGTGGGTGGATGTGACGTCGCATTAAATGCGGTGGTTGGCTGTCTCCAAAGGGAATCTTCGATGATTGAGTTTGTTTAACCGAAGAATTCTCACGTAGCCGAGGGCTCCGTTGTGACCGAAGGCTCCAAGTAGCCGAAGGCTTGGTTCAGCCGAAGGCTCTATCCGATGCTGGGGGGCCCGTATGCCGAAGTCTCCTATTTTCTGCCGTTTTCTCCCAGTAGGTTCGTATGCTTGAAACTGGCTGCCCTGTGCAATTTGGAGCCTTCGGCCAAGGAGGCCGAAGGCTCCCTAGTGTGTATTTTGGGCTCCTTTGAGACTTGGGCCGTTGCATTTGGGTCTGAAATGCTCCCTAGAATCAATGGGCTTGTGTAGGAGAAGTAGGAGTCTATGGCTCGGGGGTTCCTAGGCCATATACTCCATCAATACACATAGACTACATATTTACCAGACCTGGCTTTGAGAGACTAGACCAGATTAGACCAGACAAGACCCAACAAAATACAAAATGTCAATCCAATTAAAAACATCCTAAGATCTTGTTTGGTAATCCTGAAATTGGATGAATCGGGTGATTTTGCTGAAATGTCTGAAATTCTGACTGAAGTGACCGAACTGATGGATTATGGTCATTTATGAAAAAATTATATTTCAAATATTTTTTATCAATAAAATCAAGAAAAAATATATGAAAAATAACTAAAATGATCATATACAGTAACTTCAGTCAATGCATCCAGAAAAGTCATTCCGCCATTTAATCTATTTTGAATATCACACAATTGAGTGCATGAAATCAAAAGTTACGAGTTTGGTGTAAAAGTTGACTGATAAGACTTGTAATAAGTCAAAAAAAAAAAGAGTAATCAAACAGGCTCTAAATGTTTTTAAATTGTTAGAAAATATGTCGTCAATGTCGAACTACTTACCGGAAAGTGTATTTTTCCGGTGAAAAAGTCATTAAATTATGATGATTTATTAGTTACAAGACTAAATATGCCATCAAAGTAAAATTATAATAGTAATAACGGACACAACTTAGAGCTAGGGGACTAGAATTGCATTTCTCTTACACTTAAAAAAAGTATTGTAACAATGTTTGACACTTTGACATTAGAGAACAATATTCAAGAAGATATGAGGATGTTTTTGTTCCACTCACTCATTTTCTCAAGCGGGACCGTGACAATAGGTTTCATAAAAATTACTTGAGATAAAAAAACTAGCATCCACACATGTAAAAACTCAGTCCCATTATTTTTTCTTGCACCAAAAACTTCTTAACAGGAAATACAAAGTACTTTTTGGTATCTCGAGTAAGAATATTTAATCACGTAAGACTACTAAAAATATGGTCATCGAGATCCATAAGTACTAACACACTTCCATCAATCTTCTTGTCAAGTCTTGCACAACAACTTACATGGCACATGCCAGTGATCTATATGATCTATATAATCTTTCCAAATGACCATAGAAGACCGAGATAGTCAAACCAAATTGCTTGCACTCAGCCATTTCCGATTTTACTAGTTGAATGAATATATATATATATATATGGGGCATTGATCACATAGATCGTATTTCCGATTCTATTATTTCTATAATTGATACGCAGTATTTTGTTGTAAAGGAATTGCTCCGATTTGGATTAAAACATAAAAAAAGTGCACAAATAACAGTAATTATATCTTCTTCTCAAAATAAAACTTGTTTGATCTTATTAAAAATTTAAAACTTCCAATTTAAAAGTGAGTGAGTTATATTTCAAAAAAAAATAATGGTGATTCTGTGTGTGCAATGTATGGTATCAATTTGAGCCACAAATATTATCAAATATGATATAAGACAATTTTAGTGAGACGGACGTAAGAGAAAAATGAAACAATTATAGTGGGACGAGAGAGTAATAAGAACAATCACTTAATTAATAAAAGACGACACGAACATATGTAATTGTGATTAGATTTATGTAACCTGTCCGGGTAGCTCAACTGGTAAATGATGAGAAAGTTGAAGAATAATCAAAGATCAAAACTCACAGTGGCCGTGTTGAGGTCACAACTCCTTTGTGCTGGATTGGCTCTCTGGTGCGCACGGGTATTAAGGTCTATCGCCATTAGCATTGATTGAGTCACGGTGATTCATATGCTTCTCTATGTTTTGTCGAGTCGAGGTATGACACACCCTTGGAGTTGGGGCCTCAAACTAGTGATTAGATTTAGGGGGGTGTGGATCTGATTCTTAAAACTGCTTCTGCTCCTTTAGAAAGCAGAAGCAGAAGTTGGAGTGTTTGGGTAAAAGTGTAGAAGTGATTCTGGTGCTCTAGTTTACTCATAGAATTAGTTTTTTTAGAAGCTGGGGAGACCAGCTTCTGAAAACTGATTCTGATTCTGTTTCTGCTTTAAAAAGAAGCAAAAACAGAATGAGCTCCAAACACCCCTTTATACGAAGTATATACTACATAAAAAAAACTTAAACAATTATAGAAGCAAATAATACTTCCCCGTCCCATTTAAATCTTTACACTTTCCATTTTGGGACGTCCCATTTACCCAGTTTCTTTAAGTTTCCTTTTTAGACAACTTCTTTTACATTAAATATCTTAATTACCCTTCAGTACTCACCCATTTTTTACATTTGAGTGGATAACATTAATTTCTCTCAAAAATTAAAGGACATTCAAAACATTTATTCTTCTATTAATTGAACTCCTAAAATACTGTGTCAAAAGCAAACGTGAAGTTCTATCCCGAACAAATAGAGTATAAAAGAAGTGAATGAGAATGGGGTATCCTCCACAACATTCCGTACACAAGTAAATAAATATTGCATATGTCAACTCAATGATTTCCTCCCCAAACCGCTGTTCCTTTAACCCTCCTTTCTTCCTTAGTTTCCTTAATATTCTTCTTCCTTTCGGTCATTGCCATCATTTTTTCAAAAGCTGGTCAATCGCCATGTCCACACACAGAGGCAAAGACTTGGTAGAGCTGAGGTCTCCGAGCGGCGGCGGAGAAAACGGGCCGCCGACTCCCAGCCGTTACGAGTCCCAGAAACGCCGAGACTGGAACACCTTCGGGCAGTACCTGAGGAACCAACGGCCGCCGGTGGCGCTGTCCCAGTGCAACAGCAACCACGTCCTCGACTTCCTCCGGTACCTCGACCAGTTCGGGAAGACTAAGGTCCACTTACAAGGTTGCATCTTCTACGGGCAGCCGGAGCCGCCCGCTCCTTGCTCCTGCCCTCTCAAGCAGGCTTGGGGCAGCCTTGACGCCCTCATCGGGCGGCTCCGAGCCGCCTACGAGGAGAACGGCGGCTCCCCGGAGACGAACCCTTTCGCCAGCGTCGCCATCCGCTCGTACCTCAAGGAAGTGAAAGAATGCCAGTCGAAGGCGCGTGGCGTTCCGTACAAGAAGAAGAAGAAGAAGGCTCTAAGCCCCGGCGTGGCGGCGGCGACCACCGTTGACTTTGACTCATCTTCTTCCGCGCCATTTTCTTGATGTAAAAGAAGATGAAAGAAAAAAGTTTTTCACACGGTCGCAGGAATTCAAGGTATTGTCGGTGCGTAAATTAAATTAATTTCCAACAATATAATACGGGTATCCATTTTTTTTTACTTTTATGTTCATTTTTTGAAAGAGTACAATTATATTGCCAAGTAGAACTAAGGAATGTTATAAGTTCGAATCACATTTCAGTTTAAGAATGACGGTCTTAACATAGAACAAATAATATACATACTAATCATTTTTATTGCTTAGGTTTTTAATACCTAAGCAATAGTTATTGTAGGTAGTGTGATTAGTGTGATCAGTAAACATAAAGTACTAATTTTTAAACTTAAAGATCGCATTTTTGCGATTTCTTGTTTGTTCTTGAATGGGCATAAACCCCAAATCTTGAACTGAAGTGGATTTCAGGAAAACCCAAATCTTGAATAAAACAAATTAAGTTGGTGGGAAGAATACATACACCTCAGATATGGCTTGAGATCTTCTAACCGACAAATGGAGCGACATGTACAAGTACATGAAATTATATTTGAGACATCATTTGATTTGATTTCATCTTGAGGTGAAAACCCTAGTGCTTTGTTACTTCTATAGTTAGGTGAAATTTAAGTGCAAAAGTCCCAATAATTTAGGTAGGAAAAGGTTTGCATCCAAAGTATGATGATGATCACTACGTACTTTCCCTTACATTATTGGTGATATTAAATCGTATAGGGTATTACTAAGCTAGAATATGCCCCAAAATGTTTGCTTATACATCTTAAACAGATCTAACTGAATTGGCTCTAGTGTACTATAAATGAAAGTGAGATCGATATTCACATCACATACGAAATATCTAGCGTGAGGCACAAAGGGATTCGGTATAACTTGATATGTTTGAGAGTCACGAGACTATTAATCAATTTTCAATTTTCATGAATGGTATAGATAGGGAGGGGCTAGAAGAACCCTAGGCCCCCCTGATATTTTTTGAAAGGAAAACTGCTTATATATTAATCTCATTGAAACAATTTAAACATCCAAACATTGAGCCTTCTAAATAATGAGATCGGATCGATCTTCCCTCTAGACTCCTTATAGCCAATAGACTCACAGTCTCACTCTCTGATGAGACATAGAGTAAACTGTCCAACAATAAACAAGACTAATCGTTGAACATGCGAGAGATTAAAAACTATTATTGGCCGAAACAGATTGATTGCTTTCTTCCAATCTATTAACTAAAATCACAAACCCAAAATTATACCGTAAGTGTTGAACAAAAAAATACAAATGAAACAAGCAAAAATAATTAAAAGAAGCATTCAAACCTTAGTCGCTCGTTTCTTCCCTAGCGGCGGTTTAAGAGGGAGACGAACCAATTCAATAAAGCTCCACCCTCTTCCTTCAAGTCCAACTGGTCAAAGACCCAGTGGTTGTCCCTGACTTCATCTTCTTTCTCCATCTCCATACTTTAATAAGCTTGAGGCAAAACGACGATCTCTTCCTTGCTCTAGGCATGCGCTTATCCTCCATCACCCATCTCCTTGGTTCTGTTTTTGCCGACTGAAATCTCAAAACTCTCGGAAGCCGAAACCTTGCAAAAAATATAAAAGTTCTTTTGCATATATAAGTGCATAAGTATTTGTATATGAATAAGATTTCATGAAAAAATCTTCTGGATGTATAAATGTATAAGTATTTATAATCTCTTAAAATATAAAAGTTCTTATGTATATTAAATCGTAGTACTACGTATGAAACTTTCAAGCCCTCACCTCCTAACTTTCAACTTTCAAGTCTCCGCCATTGGTTTTCATCATCGTTACTTGCATAACATTCATGCCTATTTTTCTATCCGTCCCAAAATAGGGATTTCATTAATACTTTTATGCTTAGATTAACCTTGTGGAATCTCTTATTCTAAATTTCATCATGATATCTGAATTTACTTTTTACGTCACAAACTCACAATAGAACTTTTTGTATAACTTCGAAACAAAATGAAAACATTAATATGAGAGAAAGTGAGTCGTGGTTTGTTAGGCTCCCTCTGTCCCACTATAATTCTCAATTTCCTTTTCATCCGTCTCACTAAATTTGTCGCATATCATATTTGGTAATATTTGTTTGTCTCTAATTCTTTTCTTCTTTAATTTTACTTTTTACTAATTCATTATCAACCATATAACTTCACTTTTCATAAAAATCGCATCACCCTCCTTTGTCCTAATCTTAGGGGGCGGAGGTAGTATCAATGTTCTAAAAGGCGCTAGGCACTAGTCGGGCGCCAGCCCAACGCCTAGCGCCTAGGCGGCTAGCAGGGCCGTCTAATAAATTTGGAGGCCCCGGTTTAAAATCTAAAAATGGGCCCCCACATTAATATAAAAAGTTTTAAAAAACCCTCAATATAAATACTTATATACTCAAATCAATTGAATACTGATTAAAAGATAACTAAAAGAGTAAAAGGACTAACAAAAAAATGATGAATCTATATTTTTCTTCCTTACTAGGTAACTATATTTTAGTGATTAGTATTAATATATAATATTAATAAAATTTTAAAAATTTGGGGCCCCACAAATTTGGGAGCCCTGTTCTAGATAACCTATTGAACCCCCTAAAAAACGGCTCTGGCGGCTAGGCGGGTGCCTAGTCGGGGACTAGTCGGAGGTATAAAAATTGCATTTTATCTATATTTTTGCATAAATATGATATGTAATATTGTATACTTGTGTGGAATTACCACATCTAATCATACATAGTATATGATAACTAATCACTTTACATCATTATGTTATAAAGATAAATAATAATAAAATTTAGGTACATATATATCGCTTAAAAATTAAAATTATAATGTAAAGTAATGTACGGTGAAACTAGACGACCTAGGTGGCCGATTAGGCGCTCTGGCGGGCAACTAGGCGCCATAGGCGGCCGACTAATTCACCTAGACGACGGCAAACCAATTAGTCGGAGCGCCTAGGCGAAAATCGGGGCGCCCGACCACTGCCTAGCGCCTAGGCGGGGACTAGTCAGACGCCTAGAACGATTTTTAGAACAGAGGATAGTACTAATAAAGAATGTAAAGTACAACATTTCCTACGTACTCCGTATTAAAGAAAATTTACATACAAGTAACAAATAAAAAATTAATGGACTTACTATGTTGAAGCTCCACTAATTAAATTCTGTCTTAAGAGTATATGAAGAATAATTAAGGGAAAAATAATTCAAATAGCCCAAACATTGAAGGAGTGTGAGGTAAACACCCAAACTTGCATATGTAATTTTAATACCCCTGAACATTGTATATATAAAGAGTTACTCCGTATGTTAGTACCATGAGCATATAATTTTCAGCATGAACTAAATGACCATAAATTTTAAATTAATATATTACTATGATGCTAAAATAACTTTTTATGTAAAATTTAGGGTATTTAATTATATATGCAAGTTTTTGGGTGTGTACCTCACACCCCTTCAAAATTTGAAATATTTCAATTTTTCCCCAATAATTAAATACGTAGTATGGAGTAGCAATTAGTCATACTTACATTATTTGCAGTGTAAAAGGATGATAAAAAGAAGTGTAAAAGGATGATCGAACTAGAACAAAGTAAAGTTTACAATTTGTAAGAATGGAGAAAGTGACTGGATGATAATATTCTTTTGGGATTTTGGAGATTTTGGTGCCCCACACATCATCTGAAGTCGCAGACACTTGCTTTTGCATGTCTGTTTATTGCAGAATATCGAATCTTACAACAAGAGTAACGTTTTGTTAAGGTTACTATTTATATAACCAATCATGAAAAACTTGCCAATAATAATAAGAGAACTTCATAGTAATAAAATTCTTTTATACTCCCTCCGTCCCATTTGCTTGGCAAATACAAATTTTTAAGTCAAAGTTGTTCAACTTTGACTTATTATATATTTATACAGGGTAATATTGATAATAAGAAAATTATATTAAAATGTTCTTTGTTTAAAATCTTATCATAAAAGTATAAATTTATTAACTTTTATATAAATATATTAGTTAAAATAAGGAAAAACTATCAAATAAGCCCCTGTACTATGCCGAAAAGTTGATTAGGCCCTTGTACTTTACATACACTCAATTAAGTCATCGAACTATTAAAAAACGTTCAATTAAGCCCTTTTGGTCGGTAAGTAACCGGTTTCCCGATTAAACGGCGACGATGTGCTCGAACCCCAGCAACGGCGGCTGCCGGGAAACATGTTACATTTAACCGGGAAACCGATTACTTACCGACCGAAAGGTCTTAATTGAACGTTTTTTAATAGTTCGAGGACTTAGTTGAGTGTTTGTAAAGTACGAGGGCCTAATCGACTTTTTCAGTATAGTACGAGGGCTTATTTGATAGTTTTCCCTTAAAATAATGTATCCAAGTTATCATCTTTGACTGAAAAAGTCAAATTTGACAAACTAAAAAGGGACGGAGGTAGTATTAGATTTGATAAAATATTTATGATTTTAAATAATTTATATTCTATTCTTACTTAATCAATTTAATATCAACATAAATCTGTTTTTCTTAATCACGGAATCACTAGAGAGTTATTAAGTGATACAGATGAGGGAGAAATGTGTAAGAATATGCAAAAAATGTTGTGAACAACAAATTTTTTGCCAAAAAGAGAAAGAGGGGATAATTTTGGGATGAATGAAAAAGTAAAGTTTGAAGATGTTTCTGGGAAAGAGCGAGTATAATATCATGAGAGTAGCGATTCTCAGGCCGGCCTGATAGGACTCGCCGTCCGGCCAAAGCCATATGGGGCCCTCCCTGTGAAATTTTTTTTGGTACGAAATATTTTGAGCATGTTCTTCATGAAATGTAATTTATTCTCACCAAATTTTAGCTAAAAATTAAATCGATAAAACAGTTAAATAAATTATTTAAAAACACTGCTCTTCATATATGTATAAACAGCGCCAATGTTTTCAATTCCACAAAGTCAATTCAAAGAGTAAAAAATGGTTGATAGATCATTTTACAAACTCCCCAAACGCATCATAATCATGTGGTTTTTCTAATAGAAACCCTAAAATAAATTGGGATGTGGGAATTAAGGGCACTCTAACCTCTAAAAACATCTAAAATATTTTATGACTAATCATTTTTCAGTTGAGATTTTCCGTGACATCCATATATGAAAATGTAAAGGTTTAATAATTTTGGTACTTCGGTATCATGTCTCCATATAGATTGATGTTACAATCTCTTATTTTGTTCATCAGATCATGTCAAGATGGACTCTTACAATCAAGATTGGTTTATAAGATACAAAAATATAATATCTGGTTTTGTTTTGTTATGGAATAGTGTGTCCACTATAATAATCAACGAATGCATAAAGATATCAATCACCCAAGAGCACCTTTGGAATGGGGAGAATGTTATAGAAATAAAATAGGGGTAAATTAATTAAAGTTGGAAAAAGATGTTGAGAAAATTTAACAATTGCGAAACTTATAAAATGTTTTTGATAAGTTCTAAATAATAGTCATGATTTATTTTACTTTTCACAATTGCACTCATGAGGTTACTCTAAAAACGAGAACATGAATTGATGAATTTCTTAAGCTTTTTATTTTCTTCTCTAGTAGTTTCCAAGATGGGGAGTTGGAAATCAATAGTCATAGACCAAATATTAAAAATAAAAAACAACCAAATTCATATTTGCTGCAGTGAATTGTAATGGTTAATGACAAAACATAAAACTGTCTAATGCAGCTTCGTATATTGTGATTAATCAATACATACATGTGTCGATGTATATATACGTAGTAAATAAACAAAAAAGAAGGCTTTGTCTTTTGCAAAAATTAATATTTACACTTTTCACATTTATCCCAATACTTAGTTTGAATCTCACATATATGTTCTATGACTTTGATTGCACTCTAATGGCGTGTTATTGAGTCAATTAAAATCAAAGCAAGGGTAAACATAAAGACAAATAATAATTCATAGATTATGATATCAATCATGTTGCACAAGTGCCTGTTTTTTGTTCATTAAATTACTCGTCAATGATAGAGACGCCTTCGTTCTTATATTTGTATCAATAAATTAAGTGCCGCACTAATCCAACATCATTATTTTGCAAAATAAATACCTTTTCGTGTATGAGCATTTCGGAGATTAGATAGACATTCCACTTTATAGAGGTTGAATAATTGTCATTTGCTTCTTTAATCTTAACTAGATTGCTCACTATCTGATATCCATTGGATTTGGTGATAGTGGGACACAATTAACGCATTCAATCTAATGTTCGCATAACCTATTTAAGTTTATTTTTTAGAGTACGTATTCACTGATAGGTAGTTTATGATGTACTGAGTGATCTAATTTTTTATATATCGAACAATTTGATTCTGATAAGTAAATTCATGTACTAAGTGATCCAGGGCCGTTTTTTAGGGGTTCAATAGGTTATCTAGAACAGGGCCCCCAAATTTAAAGGGCCCCATATTTTTAAAAACTTATTAGTATTATATAGTAATATTGTATACTAATACTAATCAGTAGAAAAAGTTAGCTAGTAAAGAAGAAAAATAAAGATACATCATTTTTCTCGTTGGTCCTTTTACTTTTTTAGCTCTCTTCTAATGAATATTCCATTGGTTTGAGTATAAGTATTTGAATTGAGATTTTTTTCTTAGTTTTTTATATTAATGTGGGGCCCCGATTTTACATTTTGCACCGGGGCCTCCAAATTCATTAGACGGCCCTGAAGTGATCTAATTTATTATTCGATCAATTTGTGATTTGTGAGTGACTGTTGGCAATAATTTCGAAAATTCACTTAAAATAGAAAATATCAAATTGAATAATTTTCTGTAGAGAAAATTGGATATATATACAAGTTTAATTATCTACCATTAAGTTAATGTTACTACATATGTGTTATCAAAAACAATATGAATAACCTTTTCTTGACTCACTTTCAATATTGTTTATCATTTCCGTCCCATGAACATCTAGTAAGAATACTATATTAAGTTAAAATATAGATTTTATTTCTGCATATATCATTGCTTCATGGATCTACTATATACAAATATCGATCATATAAAAATTGTATCTGTTTTATAAAATAGAAATGATTGCTACTAACTTTATGTATACTAATTTAAAAGGCTATATATCCATTTCTCCCTCTTCTGTATCACTTATTGTACTCCATATTAAACTTTCAATGGCTGCCTCATTTGTTTCTCAACCGGTACTAATTCGTTAAATGAAGTATCTAAGGTTTTTGACAAAAATAATATGATGGAGAAGTTAAAGATAAAAATATGAATGAAAGATTCCAAGAATGATACTCTCCCATCCCATTTCACATTTTTGGGTTGTTTCAAAATAAGTGTCACGTGTCATT